TGTGTGAGCATGAAGAGAAGTCAGCTAGAAAATACAGGGAGGTGTTGTCATGCCGTGCTGAGCAAGTGTGTGGGAGAAGCCTTTGCTTTTGACGGGGAGGAATATTGGCTCTAGCCAAGCTTACAGCTCTTCTTGTGTATGGGTTTTAAACACCAGTGAACTCTTGGTCGTGTCTTGTAGAGGATGCAGTTTGGGTTGGATAGTAATAAGACACACTCTGGCTGGAGTGGGGGTGTGTACAAGTAGGAGGCAAGGTAAGGGTGGAATAGTACACTCCCCAAAGAATAACGAGACCGTGAGTCTTCAGTTTCCTGCCCACGGAGCACGGCACAATGACCCCCGCGTCACAGCAAGGCTACAACAAGGGCTGTTTCCAGCAGAACTGAAGGAGCTTTAATAAGGTGTGTGACAGTTGATGCATGTAGGAAGGAGGGTGGGGCCCTGTCTGGGAAGCACAGGGTGCTCCCGGCACACAGCCCCGCTGAATAGCCTGTCTGTGTGCCACGGCCCAGAGCCACACTGGCCCCCGGAGGCAAGGGCAGGCAGGCGGGGGGCCAGGGGCGAGGGCTGGCTGCCATAGCACCTTTTCCACAACAAGTACAGATTTGGCAACGCCGACTAACTCAGAAAACAATGCTCGCGTACTCTGCGTTGAAATGGTTGGGCTGACCCGCAATGAAACTGGTTTACAACTGTCCACAAATTTCAAAAAGACATTTGGTTTGGGTCCTAACTGGAATCGCTTTCCATCGAGTAGTAAAACAACTGTTTGGTTCGGCTGGGTTCAAGTACCAAGGAGCTATTTCGTTAAAGCCCTTTTTTTGAGAAACGTGGTTTTCACAATCAGGAAAGAGCAGCAGAAAATACCGTGCTGCTGACAGATGGGGGTGAGGCAATTGCATTTATTCTTTGTTACCTACTATCGCTCTTTAGCTGTAAAACTTGCATCTAAAGCATCTATATTTATAAAGCAGATGATGATATCAGGATAGGCTGTTGCCAGGCACCTTCAACCAGCTCAAGTGTCCTCCAGCCGCAGCGGTGAGGAGCTGGGGCTCGGCTGGTAGCTCTGGTGTGGTACAGCACAGCTTCCACAAGCGGGGTCCAAGTTATCCAGCCCTGATGTTGGTGGGTGTCCCAGGATGGGTGGCCTCCCTCTGCAGTGCTCCAGAAAGAGGTGTAAAAGCACTGGGTGGTTAATTTGGCCCTAAAGAGAAAGACAAGCATTGCTGAGTGGGGGGAAAGCTCCAAATTAGGACTCGTACCTGTGTCTTCACTCTCTCACTCAGCTTCTCACCAGCACGTGAATCACAGGCAACATGCATGTACCTCTGGCTTGCTGCCAGCTTTCCCACCATGGGCTCCCCAGGAGGCCCTCAAGGGGATGGGCTTTGCCTGTTTTGTCCCTGGCACAAAGCTCTAGTCTCTTATGAGAGGAGGGAAACCACGTCATGGTGAGGAGAGTGTGTGATATTAAAGATGGGACTGAGCAGACCCCCCTTTGTGACCACTGAAGCTTGAAGTCCTGTTACCTCCAGCTTCCCCACCCCTGCCCTGTGGCTCAGCCTCTGAGCTCACTGGAGCATGTCTCCCCATTAGTTGCCACAGGGAGACTTGGAACCAGGCTTAGGGGCTCATCATGGCCCAGGAGCGTGCTGCTGTTCACACTTGGGCTGGAGAGACCTTGGGAGCACTGGTTTTAATCAGGACTATTGGAAAAAGCAGAAGTTTTAATCATTATTATTATTATTATTATTATTAGTGCTGCGAGGCAGCTTTGGGGAAAATACGATTTGGTGCTTGCTCCCTGGTAGCAAGGCCAATCCATAAAGTTGCTCCTGTCCTAAAGTAGGGTGGGAATCTGGCAATCATTAAAATCAATTAAGCAAATCCCCACAACAGTCAGAAATAAGACCTTTTGTCCTGGTGTCCATTCAACAGATTTGAGAGCGTCTGAAGTCATGTGTTGGCTGTGTTCTTGGCTTCATCGATTTGACAGAGAGGTCAAAAATAACGACAATTTTTGCAGAGCAAAACCTGAAAGTAAATTATAAATCCCACACCCCTCCCGTGCAGTGCTGTGGGTGCTGAACCCCCTCATACAATAAGTGCAGCCAGCACACGGAGGTAACTGAAGCGATGTTCTCTGGACACCTGCAGCTGGGACAGCATTCCCCTACAAGCCCTTCCACAACCAATCCGATTCTCCCGTCCTCGCTCAAGGACAGGGACAGACAGCACCAATTGTGGCCCAAAAGGCCAGCAAAGCCCTGGACATGCTGGCAAGTTGCTATTCCTACCGCTTTTTGTTCCCAGGGGACTTTTTGTACAGGTGCTGGGTCTCGAATGGGGCATCTGCTGCCAGTCTGACATCTGATGCCACAGGAGATACGACTTTGGAAGTTCAACACCCAGGGAAAACATTAGCTTCTTTAACCCTCTCCAGGCTGAGACTTCCTGCACTGCCTGCCCACTAAATATTTAAATCTGTCTTTAAAAGTTAATCTGTCTTCACAGGCATCAGAACAAGTTGTTCTTAAGTCACACTTGGCTGCTCCTGTTCGAGAGTTTCTGCACCCAAAGGCTTAGCCTGATTTCTTTTCAACACCTCTACCAGCTGGCCTAGTGAAACCTGATAGTCAAGTCTGCAGAGGCTCCTGCACATCTGTCCCAAGGCCACAGTGCAACTAGCTCCGTGCTCAGGCAGCTTTTAGAGTTTGCACTCGAATTGGCTGTTCTGTATTGGCAAATATGAGTGCTAGCCATTGCTCTTGGTCATGCTGCGTGCTGCAGCTAAACTAGCAAGTTGTTTGGGTGTCTTGGTGACTGGTTATAAACCTAAAGAGAGTTCCTTCTGATCACAACAGCTTGTGAAGGTGTTTTCCAGCTGTGCTACTAATTCCCTGTTTGCTCTTAGTTAGTATCCTGTTTACCCCTTCTTTTCCCAGGTGGGAAATGAAGGAGCAGAGCTTCTCTGTCTCACAGTAAATACTGAAGCTCAACTCCATAACTGCCATAAAGTCCTGCAAGCCACAGAGCTGTAGATAGTGCAGCACAGCTCACTGAGCAGCCACCCTCATAACTGGTCCTTTTGGTAGAACTGGTGAAAGAGAGCTGAAATTGTTGATCATGAGCAGAAATCCTTTTGCTGATTGCTGTAACAATGGTAAACTTGAGGAGATCATTCTCTGGCATAAGTGCAGATGTCAGGTGGCTCTTGGGTTTTATCTTTCCCCCACTGGCCTACCAGGAGCTGATCTTTAAAAAGCGCTGTTGTGCTGCAAGCCTCCCCTTGGCAAAGCAAGGTAACCATGCAGCATCACGGCAGGATAACCACGCTGCTCTTCCCCCTCAGCACGTCCAGCCCTGGCTCAGCAAGAAGCACCAGCTGGGGCTTGTCTGCCGAAGAAACCCACTCCACTGCTGCCTGTGCTGTATGGCTTGAGTCTCTCTAAAAGTTGATATTTTTTCGCCCTTTGCTTTCTGTGGAGCACCCAAAAAGCTGAACTTAGCATCTCCATTTGGATACAGGGTAGTTGTGAAATACCAGTGTCTGGCTGGCCAGCACAGCAGCATGAGCCACTCCTTAGGGTACAAGGCAAGAGAAATGCAGCCTGAGTTATTCCTATGGCTCTGGAAGGGGTTTGCTTTAGAGCCTGGTAATTCAACCTTACTGCATCCTGGTGTTTCAGAGATGGGACAACAGAGACAGAGATGTTTGACTAGCACCTACAGATGCAGAGGCTTACTCATAATATTTGGCCAGGACCCATTAAATACTGCTTTAAACTTATTCTGAAGGGACTTCCACAAAGCCATTTCAATTTGGTTTCCTCTCCTCTCACCAAAGAGCAAGTTTCAACATATCTCTCCTATAAACCACAGGCACTGTAGGCCACGAGCTCAGTGGAGGGTTGTGCAGTTTTGCAGGCATTTAGCTGAGCCCACCCCATTTGGCCATGGGCCTTCCAACCACGACTGCTACTGAACACCTGGCTAGCACCAGGTCATGATCCTCGAGCTCTGGGCACTTACCCAGGGAGGCGGAGTGAGGACGCTGCTTCAGCCAGGAGCACACACCATGCTGCAAGGGGACCCATTTCCAAAGCACGAAGACACTGTCAGCAAGTCCCTTTCAGGGGGAGGGGTGGAAAAGTCTCTTTCTTTGGGCTCCCCCAGCACTGTTTTACACTAAAGCTTTTGGCAGCACATGGCTGCACCCACCACTCGAAGCGTGGTGCTGTGGAGCACTGGACCCTTGCTAGATAGTCTCACCAGGGGCCAGCAGGAGATCTGGTCTTCACATGTTGCCAGCAGACAGAAGCAGGGGACAGCCCCAATCAGTTCAGCAGAACAATACGATTTACAGCAAGCACATTTCTCAAGACATCTGCAAGGACAGAGCTTCACTGAGCGTCATATATACACAGAGAGCAGAGGAGGCTGGGCTGAGCCCTCTGCTACTGTGAAGGAGTCAGGAGTGGACTCTTGGGGTAGGGGACAGAAGTACCTCTGGTTTGCTTTTACATACTGTACATATATCTATTGATAGCTCCTTGGCATTTGATGTTCACAGCCGGTTTCCTTTAACGGTGAGCGTAAAAAGGAGGCGAGATGTCTTCAGCTACTTCCCCCTGGGAGAAGAGAGCATCTCCCTCTCCCCTGGATCAGCTGCCTGCCTAGGTGCCACCTTCGCCAAGGATGTCTCCTTCTCCTGGCACCCTCCTCCTCCTCCTCAGCTGCCCACCAGGTGCTGGCTGGGGCCAGTTCTAACCCACGCTGTGCTTGCCCCACCTCTGCTGCTGAAGGGATCAGTGCAAGTCTCCGTCGGCTGCTCTGCACCTCCGCTCCGCTGGACAGGCAGGTGAACCAGGTTCAAACGGGTGGAAACAAAACAAAAGGAAGAAGAAGAAAGAAAAAGGGTAATGAAAAGGTCCATGGCCCACAGCTGCCAAAGGAAATCTCTCGCCGTGTTTCTCTGACCATACTTGTCCCAGCCACTACAGCTGCTGTGGGATCCCCTGTTCCTTGTAGCCTGTGAGGAGGGAGGGGAAGGGAACATGATTAGTGTCAATTCCTAACGAGGACCCTTGGCGAGGCTCAAGCAAGCTATGAGCCTGGTTTACCAGGAGTGGCAAACCACGTGAGAAGATAGAGGGACTGCCACGTCCCCCCTCGCAGACAGGTTGCCCTGGGGCAGGCTTGGCCCGGCGAGCAACCCTGCCTTGCTTTAGGCAACATCTGCCCTGTGCAGCCACAGGGCACAACCACCTTCCTGGGCAGGGAGGCGACGGGGCTGCTGGCAGCCAGCCCTGCTGCTGCAGCGCCCACCGCTGGCCCCGGCGTGGGCAGAGCCATGGCTGCCTGAAGAGGTTGTAAAGGTACAGCAGGTACCAGCAGCCACCAATTCCAGTACAGCCCAATAACCTAAAAACTTCCAGAAATTATGTATTTTCTGCTTAAGTGGGTCTGTACTGGAGAGTGTTTTTCTGCAGTGTCGGGGAAATGAGTGTCCTTAGAAACTGGTACAGAGACACCCCCCTTCCCAACACTCACCTGGCAGTTTGCAGGTCATGCATCCAACACACTTGCATCTCCACTTGTGATTTATGTCTGAGCCTCATCCTTCCAGAGGACTGCCAGGTAGGAGGAGGCTGGTTTCCTCTATCTACTTTTTAGTTCCTATGCTGGCTTTTGCTACCAGAGTTCTCCAGCAGCAACCAATTTGTGCTGTGGTTTGCAGAGGTGAACAAACATCTCTCGGAGGAGAAGAGAGACACCTTTAATCACAGGTTGATGTGTCTGAGTTCAGACACAGACCTCAGGATGTTCCCCTCGGCCCTTTCCTTAATGATACTCTCTCTGCCTTGTTACGCACTTGCTTTGCTCCAGCCCAGTGGAATTACAGGTGCTTTTGTTGGAGCACAGCAGCCATCCAGCAGGACAGGAGAAAAATGGAGTTCTTCAGCAGCAAAACCGATTGCACTGGGAAACTGGAGGATCCCTCCTTCTCCACCCCTTCTCTGCTTCCCCTAGCATGAGGTTTAATGCACTTCCCGACCAAGGCAGCAAAGCCCTTGGGGGGGCTCTGTGTTGACTCGCCCTTGGCCCCAGCAGACATCAGGGCCCCACTGCATTGCAGACACATGGACCCTGCAAGGGCTAAAGCAGCTGGTCCCACTGCTCAACACAGCTCCCTGGGGGAGTGGGTCCCCACTTTATTTGCTGTTCCATATGTAATGGTTGAGAGGAGGCTGCAAATCCCATTGGGGAGGGCTTCTTCCCCTAGTGGGGCTAGGGCAGGGAAGGGCAATAGAGGACCCACAGCTCTTGTGCTGATACAGGATAATGAGAAAAATACTGGGGGTTTTAACACTTCCCTGGGTGGCTGCAAGGACAGCACCAGCTTTACCTGCTTTCAAGAGAATCTGGGACTGTTGTTACGACAGTATCAATGCAGAAGATCTCCTCTTTAAAGCAGCAGCTAAGCTGTCTTTACCTGCACTGCCTGCAACAGTGAAGATCTTTCAACTGGAAACCTTTTAAAAACCTGAAGGGTATTTTTTTCTTTAAATAGCGTAAGTAGTCTGTCATTGTTACATTTCAAACGAGTCTGAAATTTCCCATTTCAGAAGAGTGCTTAACTCTTCAGCACTTTCCCATTGATGCTTTTAATATTTCTTTCCAACCTTCATGTCAGGCTTTGGTAAGTCTCTTAAAGCTGAACACAAAATACCAGCAGATGTCACAATCCCTATCTTTAAGGGAATTTTTCCTGAACTAAGAATTGGCCCCAGCAAATGAACTTTGCTATACTTAGGAAAAATCCATGCATTCACCCAGCCTTGGCAGTCTGGATCTCCTGCTGCTAGATGAGCACAAGGAATAGAGGAGGAAATTAATGATGCTTATCAGCAGATATTACCCTGCGCTGCATTGCTGCCCATCATGTGCAGCTGAATGGAAAGACTCTCACCTCTTTCAGGCAGCCTTTTCTAGGGGGGAAAAAATGATGATTTCTTATGCATTTATGTTCTGAGTCAGCTCTGAAAGCAAGAGGAGCTGGTTGGAAACCTGTAATTCAGGCTTGTCTACAGCATTGGTTTAACTTGTTTATGGAGCACAGTAAAAAAATAACCACCAACCACATGGACCATAAATGGTCTGTAAATCCTTCACTGAAGTAAGCAAGCTAGGTTATGCTTACAGTAACTTGCTTGCATAGCCATAGCTTTCATTAATATATAGAATAAATCCTTTCAGTCCTGCTATCAGTCTGGAAGCTGGCTAGAAGCCAGCTACAGTGGTTAAGCCTGTAACTCTCTTTACATGATCAAAGTAAGCCCAAAGATGACCTATGCTAAATTTATTTATTGGAATACTTTAAATATGAAATAGTTTACATATGAAAATAGTTATTGCATTTCTTGCATAGGCATAGCTGTTCTGTGTGAAGCAGTTTCATGTCAGCGCTCCTGCAAAACAGCTAAGGTGCAGTTCTGTAAAGCAGATAGCTCTGGGATCAAGACTAAGTTGGCCTGCCTACAAAATCACCAATTTAATCAAATTAGCTTGAAATTGCACTTCTTCTGTAAACCATTCCAAGTAGGATTCAGGCAAAAGAAACGGGTCTGTGCACAGGCTGTCCTACCGGGAGCGGGTTCACGCCAAGGGTGGCCTCACCATGCTCTCAAGGCTGGAATGGGTCCCTGACCTGCTCTGAGGGTACCCTTGGGGCAGCCCAAGAGGCATTTCAGTGCTGGGTAGAGAAGGTGTCCCTGGGGCTGTGGCCACAGGAAAGACATGGAGACAGGTGGACACACGCACACACAGGGACACGGCTGGAGCTGGGCTGGGAGTGGGCAGCACTGCCTGAAGTGAATCCCAGCTGGCTTGCCCTGGCCAAGTGCTTGCTGTTCTCCATGAGGAGCTGCCACGAGGCGTGAGGAGAAGGAGGAAGAACAGAAACGAACTTACCTTGTGAAACTTTGATGGTGAACAAAAGGAGGCAAAGCAACATGAAAGAAAGAGAGAGGGAGAAATGTAACTGTAGATGATATATCCAAAACACATGGAGAACCAGAAAAGAACAAATAAATTTGGTCTGCAGAGTAAACAGAGAACAGCTGCTCTACCATCAGACACTCACACCAGGGCTAAACATTACTTAAAATCTTTGTACTTGAAGTGGATTCTTTTATTTGGGGTTCAAAGAGGATGGGGGAATCCTCCGCTGCTTTCCAGCTCACTGGCCCCGAACTGGGCAGTCTGGGTGGGCTGGGACTGCCATCTCTGAGTGATGCTCCCACAAATGCTCTCCTCTGTGACATTGCTATTCCATGGGTTTGACTAAAGGGGAACCACAGCAGGAAGGTGGCAAACAAGATGTCACAGCGTACCACATGGTACGCGGCATGACATTTGTGGTCCGAGAGCTGGGAAAGCTACACCTGATGGCTTTCTAGCAGTTTGGCTTCTGAGTTTGCTTGTGCCCACAGAGAACTCTCAACTGTGGCGTGCCTCAGCCTGCTGCATGCTGAAAACCTTGGTGGTTTTTAACATTTCTACAACATTTTAAGAACTTGTCCTACTACAGTGTTTGACAGAAAACTGCAGAAAAGGGTAATTTAACTACTTTCCTCAGGCATAGTTTGGGGGACACTTTTTTTTATATTTAAAAAAAAAAAAAAAAGGTAAGTGGGTAATTTATCCTCAGAATTTCCTTCATCTCAAGAAAGGTTACCAGCTGTTTTAGGATGTTGCTCTCTTCCAAGTCTCTCAAGTGCTTTCTGCTCCCTTTCCTTCCCAGGGCAGCTGCATTACTTGCCCTAGCAGGAGCCCTGCAGAGAAGAGAAGCTCAGTAATTCTCTCCAAAGTCCCTCGGAGCCTGAGCATTTGGTAACCACACAATCATCTGCTGCTGCTTTCTGGCAAGGTCTGAGCACTGTAATTAGCAAAGGAGTGACAAGCAGACAGTGTGATTACAGGTAATTTCTTACTACTGGCTGGCAATCAACCCCTGAGAGTCAGCTGCCCACTGCAGAAGCAGGGGGACACCACGAGTCTCTGTCCTGTGCAGCCACAAGTGATGACACCTTGGCTTGTTCCTAGGTGCAGCCACGCAAGTCGTTAATTCAGAGGCCAGACACTGAGCAAGGGCTTCCTTCAGAAATCAGGTTTAACTTCTTGGCTGCATTCATAAGAGGTGAAACAATGCCTGGACAACTAGTCCCTGACTTCTGTTCCCTACATACATTACTATAATGATTTCTGTGGTATTTCTGTCAAGCAATGGCACAACACTTTTTATAACGAGCTCTGAGCAGCTGGGGAGTTCCTGGAAAGGCCATTCCTCTGCACTCATACTGCACAATGCAGCTAATGAAGATGTGTGCTGTGTGGGCTGAGGACAAGGTGTGCCTTTAGCAGAGGGAAACTTGCCCAGGAAGCCTTAGGAGGCTCATTTTCCAGTTGGCCTTGGCCAGCTAATTAGCTCTGTTTCGCCTCAGCTCCGCGCCTTGTCCCCACAGCCCTGAGGAGGGGCTGGAGGAGAGCACAGTGTGCCAGCACTGCCCAGCCACCACCAAGGGCAGCTGGTATTCGCAACAGCAAGGGGACAGAGCATGTTATTTTTATTGCAAAAGATTAAAGTGCTTCTTTTTAATCTACCTTTTCCTTCAGACAGCAGGTAAAGCGAAGGACGGCTCCCAAAGCCATATGGCTGCTTAAAGAAGATATCTGAGGCATTTAATGGGGCCAGCTGGCAATTCATTTAAATTAGCAGAGAAAATGCCCCATGCCATTGTGCTGCCAAAAGTAATTAAGTGTGACAGCAAAACTGTGTTCAATTAATCTTTCTTCTGGGACATACCCCACCAAAGGGCACCTTAAAGGAGATGAGGGCTGGACAGGACCCCCCCCGAGGTCAGTGGGTCTCTTCCTATGTGCCCCCTTGCTCCTGACAGACGTGGGGCTAACTACTCTCGGAGACTTCCAGTGGCAGAGAGGGCTGTTCCTGCCATGCCACCTCTTCAGCATTTTGACCTTACTGGAGGGAATATGTCTCCTAATTTCCACACAGATCTTCCCAGCTGTTATTTAAGTCTGTCTTGGGCTACACTGCTGCCCTCTCATGTTTACTAGCCCACCGAGCCTCTTCATTGCTTGCTGTCTCACGGTCCTCTGGACTCTCTCCAGGCTGTCCACATGAAATACAGCCTCCAGAGCTGGCCACAAATCTCGCTGCAGCTTTACATGTGCCAAGAGAGGTGAGGGAACCAGTTAATGTCCTACAGGCTCTGCTCCTACCTGCCTGGGCAGTGTTCGTTCCCTCCACAGCAACGTCCTCCTGTGCAGCTTGTGACTCATGGCAGCCACTACATCCTTCTCTGAAAAACAAGTTGTTCCCTAGCATGTATTTATGCAGTTGATTAATCCTTCCTTAGTGTCTTGGGCTTGTCTCTGCTGAGCAGTGTTTAATTTTTTCAGACTATTTCTTTTCTTTGCTTGAATCCGGATGCTGCCCTCACCGTGCCTTCCATCCTTGCAGCCACCAGTGCTGCAGGGCAAGTAAGCCCCTTCTCCAGTCCATCATCAAGCCATGAATGATGATGGACTGGACAGAGATGGATTCAGGAGGGACCTTCCAACACACCTCTCCTTATATCTTTCCAGTTTCTGGAAAATGTGCTTAGAGAACAGTTCTCGAGTGCATTTCACCCAGGCCACATCTCTCTAGCTTGCTGGTAAGAACACTGTGTGAGACAGTGTCAGCACCTGAAAGTCAGGAGGGATGGCTGGCTGTCACCACCACCCTTCACAAAATGAATCCTTCTGCCACAGAAAGGAATCAAGCCAGTCTGACACAGCTTGCTCTGGACAAACCCAGGCTGACTTTATTTTCTAAATGCATACAAGTCACTTGCTTGATTACTTCTTCCAGGAACTGAACTGTACCTGATTGGCCTCTAATTCTTCTCTTCTCCTCATTAAAGACAGTATGACATTATCCCCAAAGCTCTCCCCTCAGAGCGTGCTCCTTTCTTTTAATGGCACTAGAAGATGGAAAACTGCATCAAGTCTCCCTAACTCCCACCCAGCTCTCTCCCAGCTAATGGGCAGGTAGGTCCTGATCCAGGGAGCAAGGGAAAGCCGGAGCAGAGTCCCAGAGCCCTGGCTGCTTCCCACCCCTCTCCTCCCTGCTAGCCCCCATCATCCTAGATGCCACCCACTGTGGCCCGCCTCTAGCTAATCAGAACTGCACAGCACCCTCCCAGGGGCACAGGGAATCAGCCTTTTCAAGGCAAGAAGACTGGAGTGGGCAGTAGTTTTGCATGTTTTTAACCATTTCCCACCTTCGTGCAGATTCAAGTTGCAACAGCGTACAACTTTGCTCCAGCACATCGAATAGTGTGCACACAAAAAACCCCAACCAAAACAAACCGTTTCCTGGCAGTGTTTTTAAATGAAATGTCTTGTTTCTTGCATTTGAAACACTGTTTCCTTTTTAAGTTATTACTTTTGATTTTTCTGAACATGAAAACAGAAAATGAAAAAACAAACCATTTTGGGTCTGACAAGGCTGTTTGATCCAGCTGGGAGCACTTGATCACTTCTGTTCTTTGTTTTGATTGAAGAATGAGGTTTTTCTTTTATTCTCCATCAACCAAGAGCTGCTTTATTTAGCCATTATTTTCTCTGCATGGTAAGGAAACTTAAAGCCCGGCTATTTAATGAGACAGCAATAAACTGCCAAGGGCTACAACTTGTCAGATGAGACATAGCTGGTAAACATAGCACACGTTGACTCCTCTTACCCTTTGCTACTGCCCCAGAGGGGCCAGGATGAAATAGGGTTGCTGTGATCGGGGACCTCTTGGCCTCAGCATCCCCACCAGATGCTGCTCACCCACCCTCTGCCTCACAAATTGGTGGGATCCAGCCAGGCGTGGGAAACAGCTTTGGGGCAACACTTCCAAGCTGCATGGTATTCCCCAGCAACCACACTGGAAAGCCAGTAAGACCCTCCTGAGCCCCAGCCCCTCTACCCAGAGGACATACATGAACAAGGGCTATGGAGAAAGGCAAGTCAAGGTTTCAGGGGTAGCTCTTTATCTGGACAGATGATTTCCTGCCTCTCCCCACAACTGCAGAACTGGGTCCTGCCAGGCAGCGAACACTCATGGAGGCTGTCCGTCAGAGGAACAGCAGAAGAGCATACGATTACAGACACATAATTATGGGATTACACACAAATCAGGCAGGTTCTTAAAGACACGTCACACATGTACACCGATTCACAGTTTATCCTTAGGAATAACTTGGGCTATCCCTGCTCTGTGGGTACATCTGAGAGGGAACTTGTCGGGTGGTTTGCAAGGAAAAACGAGGGGCAGTGCTGCCTTTGTGCCAAGGAAAGCCTTCTGCCTCGCTTATGTTCAGGATTTTAGTATCCATCGTTTGCTCTGTGTGGGGATTGCCTTTAACTCAGCCTGTAAATTGAAGTTGGCTCAGAAATTAGCAGGTAGTTGGGTGAGAGGGTTAAACCTCTAGGGTTGGCAGCTGAAGATGTGCACTGGTTTCCTACCATTTTTTTTTTTTTCTATTTCATCCACTTCATCTTTAGGCAGGTGCCTGGCAATTTCATGAGATCCCCTATCCTCCTTGGTCATGCAGCCATTGAAGTCATAGACAGATATGACAAAGTGGAGCCTCGTCAACCCAAAAGCTGCTGGTAAGGTGTCCTCTGAGAGAAGAGCTTGCTTTGGGAACTGCCTGCCCTGTGCCAGCCTGAAGGATCTCAGATCTGTTTGGCTCAGGGCAATGCCCTCCAGCCTCTGCCAGTCTTTGGAAAGGGAGTGGGGTCTTGTAGATGCAATCAGCACCCCAAGTTGTGGGCTGCTTCTGGCTTTGGAGGCAAGGTGAGGCTGTCACCTTAATTCTCTGCAATATGATACAGAGATGATACAACTTTCACACCAGTAAAAGTCTGTAGCAGATAAAGTTACAGAGCCTGTAGTCTAGACTAGTAATATATACTTACTGTTTGACTTAAATTATGTATATTTAAAAAAGGATT